CTGTGTCCTACCTGTGGATCAGACGGTTACTGGTCTTAGTGAGTGGGGATGTACAGTGGGGTGGTAATCACACTGTTTCAAATTTGAATCACTCTGAAATGGAGTATGATTCTGTTTAAAAAGTGCTGATCTAAGTTAACAGCTGCTGCGGTCTCCCCGCACAGCACAACACGGTTACACAGTAAGGCTGTTTCACACGTACTCCCTCTGCAAGGCGTGAGTCATCAGGAGTGTCTTGCTTTTCATTTTAGCGCTTAACAGTGTTCAAAACGCTAATTTTACACATAAAGTCTGTCATTAAACCAAATACTGGTTAAATATGTTGTGCTACATACACATTTGCTGGTAGCTCTACAGCAGGGGTGCCAAAACTTTTTGTCTTGGGGGACCGAAGTGCAATGTTTGTGGTCGGCCAAGAGGCAAAAAGACAAATCAATATACAAATAAAGAGAGTAGGCAGATTTCAAGTCTTTACATATGTATTTTATAACATTATGGTCTAGTTTTACAAAAATACAGTTTTAAAAGAAAATATAAATTTAGTAAATCAATATAGAAGTATGTTTGTTCTCTCATTGGGTGAGGGGGTGGTTTTACGGGGTATTTCTGGTGGGCCAAATCAAGTGCCATCATGGGCCGACTGGTCTACAGGCTTGAAAACGATCACCCAGTCACAGCTCAGAGAACCGCAGAGGATAAACAAACACAACATGCTCTTTTTATTAATTATTCTTGTATTAAGCTCATTAAACTGATTCAACTAACTATCCATTTGGAAAAAAGCATGTAACGGAGAGGCAGCATGTGCAAAACGGGACTTATTATCAGAACAGTGAACAGTGCTGAGCATAATTTCTTATTTATTTGCATTCATTAGGTTTTTGTGTGTGTTATAAAGAAACACAAGAGTGTTAATGGAAAGAACTTATCAGTGTCCAAACTTTGGTGAGTTGATTTCAGTGTGTATTAGAGCTTTTTAAACAGTTTCTATTTTAAAACTATTATTTTGATCTGTGATGTCATGACCGAAAGTCTTCATTCCATGCTGGAAGTTCCAGAAAGGCCTGAAAGTTTTTAAAACTGTCTTACACAAATACACAAATACAAATATTTCTCCAGCTGTTCCTAATCAGAGCCCTTTTAGTTCCTCCAGCATTTAAATATTTATTATCCTCATCCAGCGCCGTTCAGTTTAGCAGCAAGATGACCACCGGGATAACCAAATGTTCTCAAAATAATGCAAATAAGTTTTATTTATTCCTATTGCAGGGAGGGCTGAACGATTTGGGGACAATACCTAATTGTGATTTTTCTCATTGGTAGTGCCATTGCGATTTAAACCTGATTATTTTCTATAAATTCACCCTTGTGTGGTGTTCAGGTCTGAGGGACCCATTTTTCAATGTTTACAAACAGTAAAAATCATGCGATTTATTATTATTTCATCCTCAGATTCTTGTTCTTTGCTCATTTTCTGTGAAGAACATATAAAATAACCCATTTTCAGTGTCTTCACTCTGTTCACCCCCCACACATCTATATTACACATGTGGTGTTGGGTGAACCTGCGGGGAGTAAAAGTGTGGAGGTGCTGTGTCCTTCACTCTGTTCTCCTCCTACATGGCCTGCTGTTAGTGTGTGTGTGTGTCTTTGTGTATGTGTTTGTATATGTGTGTGTGTGTGTGTGAGGGTGGACAACATGGACAGGCTGCTGACTGGCTACAGCTGCTAAAGTAGAACCCTACGCTGGACACTTGTGATATTTTAAACATCTGGTATTTATATATAAACTGTTATGGCTGTATTGATTTAAATAAACAATAATGTGGTGGGTCCAGCAGACCACTGAGTAATAAATCACATCAACACATCAACACCACACAAGGGTTAAGCTGCAGGTCGCTTTTCTTCACCAGACTGCCAGTTCGAACTCTGCATTATCAGATGTAACTTCTTTGCTTAAAACTTGATAAGACAATGTTGAATAACGTTGTATAGAATCAAAATTGCAGCTCTTGTGATATGAAAATTGCACTTTTCACGTTGGGATTTTGATAAAAAAATGAATACTTGTTCAGCCTTAATGTCAGGGCTCCCAGAGATCCTTGGAAGAACTTATAAGGTCATTAGACTTAGAAATGTAAGGCGACAGTGCCTGAAAATTTCTTATGTTTAATTATTAGATGATGCCAAAAGACCAGGCTGACAGGAGTCATTGTGTTTATTAACTCACTCAGTATTTTCCCCCAGCTAAACCTCTCCAGTTCATAACAGTGGTTAGTGATATTTGCTGTGTATTAGAGATTTTAAAACAAGTTCAGGACTTTTTTGATCAGTAATCGTGATAGAAGGTCTTCATACCATCCAGAAACGCCTGACAGTTTTCAGATCTGTCTTATAGATTACAAATACTTCTCCACCCAGTTCTGCTCAGAGCTCTTCTAGTTTCTCCGGATGATTCGGTTTAACTTTAAACGGCAGTGATTCGGTTGGGGTTTTGACTCAAGGAGAAGGAGATGGATTGCAACCGAGAGAGAAAAAGTGAGAAGGGTAGAGGCAGAGTTGGGATGGATGGAAAAAACTAGAGCTGGAGGGAAGAGAGAGGCCGAGAGCAGGAGTTTGTTTATTTAGGCCGTGTATGGATGTTCCACTGTGAACCAGTTCGTGTTGTTTTCCGTGGGCGATAGGAGCGCGTGTCGTTTGGAGAGATCACGTGGGCCAGTATTTAATTAAAAGTGAGGATGGGGCTGATCGGGTCACTCTCAGCCCTCAGGGGGTATCAGCGGGGGGGTCATGAAGGGGAGTGGGGGTGAGCGAGAGAAATACAGAGTCAGAAACAGCTGTAAACACGTAGCAATCAATGATCTTTTTCCAGCATTTCTTTAACTCATGGAATTAAATAGCCTGCTTTTGTTACTGTGCCTTTAAGACTGACTAAATGAGCTCTGTGCTGATTGGCTGCACTGTATTGTGCCTCATTCAAAAAGCGCTCAGAGGTGAAACACTCCATATAACTTCATTGTGAGGGGGTGGGACTAAACTGCTGTAGGCTGAATAGATGGATGCATGTGAGTGAGCTGGTTCTGGTGTGTGTGTGTGTATGTGTGTGTGTGTGTGTGTGTGTGTGTGTGTGTGTGTGTATATATAAACACATACTGTATGGAGTGAGAAAACTCCATTATTTGAATAAAGCGAGGGAAATACAGTTTTCCATGATATGGGCTCTTTAATGACTCGTCCCAGACGAGTATCCTGGTTATGATTTAACTACAGTTCACTACCAGATAACACACACACACACACACACACACACACACACACACAGAGACTCACACACAGTCTCCAGTCCTCTGTTTAGTCAGCAGATAACACTCATGCATAAAACCCTCCCACTGTCTGCTGAGTAAACTCACACACACACACCACACACTCACACACCACACACCCTCTGGCTGAGGGGCCTAAAACACACACAGGGGTGAAGGGGGGAGGTCACTGACTGACCTGAGGGGCAAAAATCTGGGGTGGAGACAGAGAAAGAGAGAAATCGGAGAAGAGAAAGAAAATGAATACGATAGACAGATATAGCGAGAGAAAGAGAATGAAAGAGGGAGAGAATGAAAGAGAAAGTAAATGTAAGACGGAGAGAGAATAAAGCAGAGGTAAAGAGACAGGTGTAACCGGGGAGAGAGGTGTAATGTGAGATAGTGAGAGAGATAAAGGTGAGACAGAGAGAGAGATAAAAAGAGAGAAGGAAGTGAGAAGAAAGGTGTGAAGTGAGACAGATGTAAAAAGAAGGAAATGAGGGATAGAAAATGAAGTAAGAAGATGAGTAAGAGAGAGAGATTTAAAGTAAGAGGTGATATGTGTGTGTGTATATATATATATATATATATATATATATATTATATATATTATATATATATATATAAAAGAAAGAGAGATAAATGGATAAATGGAGGTATAGAAAAACTATAGTAATACAAGCAAACTTTATAGCACTTTTCGTACTCGAGCAGTTCAGAGTGCTTGACAAGAACGTCTATGTAATATAAGAATGATAGATATATGTAAGAGTGAAATTAGATAAAATAAGAAAAAAATATAATATAAAAAATCACGAGTGATTTAAAATGGTTAAACATGTCAATGTAACGTGAAGCAAGGGAGAAAATAATTAATAGAAATGCATAAAACTAATAAAATAATATTAAAAGCTGAAGTAAACAGACTGTAGAGCTATTTTTGATAATGATTTCTGTTGCAGGCTGTACAAAGCTGTAATATGGAAAGGAGCCTCTGAACATAACCCTACCCTGCACGTGTGTGTGTGTGTGTGTGTGTGTGTGTGTGTGTGTGTGTGTGTGATGAGCCCCCTGCTCTCATCAGAGCTCCTCTTTCCTCTCCAGCTCTTTTCAAAATGACACCTCACAGCCTCACAGCAATCCATCTTATAGACTCTCTCTCTTCACTTGAGCCTGTTCACCAAACTGTGTGTGTTTGAGTGTGTGTGCACGCGCACAGATGTTTGTGTGCATGTTTGTTAGAATATATGCAGATGTGAGTTTTAATCTTATTGTTGCTGTGTTAAAAAAGGGATGAGAAGAATAAAGATGTTTTTAACTGTAATGGACTCGTAAGTCTGCGCTGGTCGGCTCTAGTCTGCAGATTTTGGGGCGGTCAGAGTCGACAGCTGGGAGAGGAATCTGAGTGTGTGAGGGGAGCAGACTGAGGTCTTTTGTCTCTTGACTGAGTTTCAGACCATCGAAAGTTTAGCAAACAGATTAGATTTTTTTTTCACTCTGACTCAGTCTGACTCAGTCTGACTCAATCTGATTGGGTCCCACCAACAGCCAGTGAATTCATTTAAAAAAGTAAACAAAGAAAAATGGCAAACAGGCATTCACCTGTGTAGCAGAGCATATTTTGATATGATGCAAGATGCATATCTTTAAGTTTGATGGGTGTTAATCTCTCTGATTTGCTGTTTTCTCTCCAAGGTGAGTCTGGACTGGGTAAATCTACACTCATCAACTCTCTCTTCCTGACGGATCTGTACTCTAAAGACTACCCTGGCCCCTCCCAGAGGATCAAAAAGACAGTGCAGGTAAGCTCTATCCAGCTGACCTTTGCCTTACCTCTGACCTCTTTCTCCTTGGCCTGGCTACAGATTCATACCAGATTCATACTGGGTTAAAATCGCTCCACAATTATTACTGTCAGACTGTAAAAACTACACACACTGCAGATTCATACTGGATTAAAATCACTCCACAATTATTACTGTCAGACTGTAAAACTACACACTGCAGATTCATACTGGATTAAAATCACTGCACAATTATTACCGTCAGACTGTAAAACTACACACTGCAGATTCATACTGGATTAAAATCACTCCACAATTATTACTGTCAGACTGTAAAAACTACACACACTGCAGATTCATACTGGATTAAAATCACTGCACAATTATTACCGTCAGACTGTAAAACTACACACACTGCAGATTCATACTGGATTAAAATCACTGCACAATTATTACCGTCAGACTGTAAAACTACACACACTGCAGATTCATACTGGATTAAAATCACTCCACAATTATTACTGTCAGACTGTAAAACTACACACACTGCAGATTCATACTGGATTAAAATCACTGCACAATTATTACCGTCAGACTGTAAAACTACACACACTGCAGATTCATACTGGATTAAAATCACTCCACAATTATTACTGTCAGACTGTAAAACTACACACACTGCAGATTCATACTGGATTAAAATCACTGCACAATTATTACCATCAGACTGTAAAACTACACACACTGCAGATTCATACTGGATTAAAATCACTCCACAATTATTACTGTCAGACTGTAAAACTACACACACTGCAGATTCATACTGGATTAAAATCACTGCACAATTATTACCGTCAGACTGTAAAACTACACACACTGCAGATTCATACTGGATTAAAATCACTGCACAATTATTACCATCAGACTGTAAAACTACACACACTGCAGATTCATACTGGATTAAAATCACAGATTTTGTCAGTAATGACTAATGAATTGTTGAACCTCCCCATGAAGAACTAATCTAGCGCTAAATCTCATGTGAATTTCAGTGTCTGAGGATGATGAAGTGCTATTTCTTTCAGTGACTCCTCAAACTGATCTCAGATCAGCTCTCTGAGGAGCAGCCACAGCTGGCTTCTACAGCCTCTAGCTAGGCCTTATCAAATGTTCACAGAGCTCCTGCTGTTCCTGAGGAGAACAGGCCAGAGCAAACGCTCTCAGACCCTGGAAAGGAGACGGGACAGAGTTTTGCCCATATAAGGTGATCATAAACAGAGAGGATGGATTTTGGAGCTGGAGTTCAGCCGGGTTTTGGGGTGGGGGGTCGCGATGGAGGAGGGGACGCTAGCTGGGAGTTCGAAGGAGAGGTGGGATTCGAGTTGAGCGTTTCTGTCGTTTGAGTGTTTTTGGGGAGGATGGGAGGGGTGGCGGAGTTGACATTCCAGCAGTGGCCAGCAGGGTTCGGTGAGAGGTCAGGAATGTTCCCACGAAACCCAACACCCAGTGACGGCCGCTGTCCCAGCTTTCCCAGCGCGATGAGGGAGCCCAGCCCAGCTGGTGGTCCCTAAAATCATGTGGGGCCTCCTCTGGTCGGACGGGTGAGAGGCACGCCCGGTACCTCTGGTGGCCGTGACCATCGGACCCAGCGGCAGGACTGCAGAGCAGCTGCTGGTGGTTGGAGGTTTGAGCTCATTCCCACCTCCTCCTTCTGAGCTGTGGGCTCTAGATAGCTTCTCATGGAGCTTTTTCGTTTGTTTTCGGAGGCCAACTTTACGTTTTTGCGACCGAAGATCTCCAGAGTGCTCATTTGTGATCAGCTGGACTAACATGAGCACAGTAGATGGGAATTCAGTGCTGGGCTGAATTCTTTTTGCTTTGGAAGAACCACCATAGTAACATCATAGGCCTCCATTAGTGGAGTCTGTCGCTTAGTACATGTGCCGAAACCACACTGCGATGCTGTTGCTGCTAGGGATGTGCACAGGTACTCGAGTACCCATTACTAATTGTTTGAGATGCTAGTATTCGAATACTGACATCACTATTCAGGTCCTCATTCCAGTTCGTCACAGGACGACGAAGTAAATGTACAGACCAGTAATTTAATAGACTGCACATTTATGTTTTAACAGGAGTGTAAAATGTTACGGTTTGGTTCATATTTGTGAGTATCTGTATTAGACGAGTGCCTAAACATGAGCTTGTTGCTAGGATACGTTGTTAAGGACGTGGCTGAGAAGGCCGAGATAGTGCAGCCATTATTGCTAACTAAGCTAACCAGTCTAACTGATGTTGATGAAACATATCTGACAAACCATGTTGGCACGTCGTCCACTGAGGAGACAAGACTTCATGTAGGCCTCATCAGCATCCAATGTTAGCAACTGGTTAGCTGGAGTTTCAGCTCATCTGAAGAGGCAGCCTCAGCTAGTCATACAACACAAAACTACTGATTTTCATCACCTTCTTTATGTGATAAAACTTGTAAATTGTGGGAAACTTGAGGTAAAAAATCAATAAAAGACAGATAGAAATGATTTATGTTGGTTTGCCTGAAAACTTTAATTCAAACTCACAAAACAACTCTTACCTGGAGCACCTGAGGTTATTCAGGATGATCTCAGAACATGATGTGATTTGTTAGATGCTCATTTACATATTGCGGCAATATTACTATTGAAAATGCCAGTAACAGTTTAAAAACAATATATTGTACAGTCAAAGTCCAAAACCATTTTTCTTCAGTTGTGGAAGGTGCTTCAGATTATAGCATATTTCACTGTACACTCTTGTTCCTTATGGGTTCTTTAGGGAAGAAAATGGTTCTATGTAGAACCATGAACACCCGAACTCTGCACGATAAAAAGGGTTCTTTGCATCATGAAAGTGTTCTTCAGATTGATGGAGAATATGCTGTATATGCTGTATATGGTTGTGTATAGAACCTTTTTGAAAATGGTTCTATATAGCACCCAAAAGGGTTCTTCTATCGTTACAACGTCAAGCTTGTTACAAGAAACTTTAAATAAAAATAACATGTTCCGAGAGCATCCTGAATGACCTCAGGTGCTCCAGGTAAGAGTTGCAGGTCTTCTATTTATTTTTCCCTCATTTTTCCCTCACCCACCCAAGCACAAGCACCCCCCCCCCAGGTTTCACCTCCAGTTGACTTCTTTGGCACTTTTGGACGACAATCGTTTTTGCGCTTTGCTCACCGTGTGGCTGGACGCACACTTTGCACACCTCTGGGTTTGAGCCGTGCTACATCAGCATGTGCTCACCCAACAGAGCTGTTCATGCCCTCAGCAGACACAGTTCACTCCCATGATCTGCAGATAGTGGCCTTCTACACGCACCCTCTGTAAAATACAGAAAACACAGAGAGACTCTTTCAGTTATTCTGCTTCTAAACTGTGGAGCTCAGTTCCACCTTTTATTAGACAGTCAAGCTCAGCGCTCACTTTTAAGAAGCACCTAAAAACGTCTCTCTTTAACTCAGCATTAAATTAAAGCTCCACGTCTCGTTTTTTATCTATTAATTTGATGACATTTTCTTCTGATTCTGAATAAATACTAATGATTTCTTGTATAACTGTGTTTTATCACCTGTCTGTAACGCACTTTGAGCTGCCACCAGCATGAAAAGTGTTATATAAATAAAAATTATTATTATTATTATTTTTTTAAATTATTTTTTTAATGTAGTTCAGCAAAATGCATCTCATTTTAAAACAAAAAAATAGCATCAGTAAAAAAAAAAAGAAAGAGGTCATACAACACGTCATACTCAGGTTTGTCTTGTCCATTCAAGAGACCTTAAATCTCTTTCTTATGACCCATGCGCTCAAAAATTGTGTCATGACCATGACAGTGAGATCATCATATCACTCATTTCTACCTTATTTAAAGGGAAATTTTGCAGGTTTTTGTACAAAATTCCCTTTTTTCCATAATTAAATGGTTAAGTTGTGAATAAAGTTATTCAGGGTGGTTTTATGTTCATTCTGGATAAACTTAGTCAGAATTGTTCAGAGTGGCAGTGATAGGAACCAGACGTCCACCTCTAAAATCTCACTGCTTTCTGTTTTTATTAGCATTTCACATTCCGCCCCAACTTTTTGGAATTAGGTTTATAGTTTTTGACGGCATGTCTAGATGATATGTCTGTTCCACCTTTTCAAACCTCACTAAAACCAAATGATGATGTGATGCGAAGACTCATATTGTTTATCGTGAAAATGCCTTTAAGTATAGTAGTATTACTTCTTAGCTGCATCGCTCGCTCCTAATGCGTAGACCCTTTTCAGTGCTGTTTAAGTCTGTCCGTCTGTCTCTGTGTGTATTTCTGTGTGTAGGTGCGGTCAGTTTAGCCGGCCTGTGCAGACAGCAGCGAGTGTATTTATACTCCCAAACAATCTCTTGAGTTTGTCAAAACAGCCGTGTCGTGGCCGCTGGGATGGCGGTGGATGGAAGGCGGACATTTTTGTGGTATTTTTTGCTGCTGGCGTGAGTCAAACACGCAGTTAGACACGGCTCATAACCATGCAGTGAGGCTGAGACGAGGGGGCGAGTGTACTTAAGGTTGTTTATTTCTCTCTCTCTCTCTCTCTCTCTCTCTCTCTCTCTCTCTCCCCCTCTCTCCTTTAAAAGCCCATGTCCCACATTTTTCTTGTAGTTTTGTCCTACTTGTGACATTTGTGTGGGTTTGTGTACCAAAAACAGTCGTAAGTCAATGTTCTTTCATTCGTTTCTACACAACGGCTTTCCAGCCTTTCTTTATCTCCTATGTTATGCTTTCCCCCGCACATTTTCTCGCCTGGATCCCTCTAGTCGCTGCTGGTGGGCGTTTATACATCCTTTCTGTTATGGAAATTTGCGCTCACTTCTGCCAGATGTGAGTTTAACCTACAGATGTGCCAAAGATGAAACTGACGAGTAACAGAACTGAAATTTTGTATGAAATTTTGCAATCAGATTTGACTGTACAAACCAGTGAATAAGGACCAGTGAGGTTAAAATAAACTTACACATTTATACATTTTATGAATTTCAGAAAGCATTAGTCATTCACAGGTCTGTATGATTTAAAAATTCAGTTTCCGCCGGAATGACGTGAACTTTATCTAGTCAAACGCCTCCCTCTACAGAGCCCTGACGGTGACATCCCATATAAATTAAAACAATGCGTGGCCACGACTTAGTAAGGCGTGGGAACGAGATAATCAAGTCATGGCCACGACTTAGTAAGCCGTGGAAACGAGATTATGCCTTGCTAAGCCATGGCCATGCATTAGAATCTCTTTCCCACTCCTTACTGAGTCGTGGCCATGATTTAATTATCTTGTTCCCACGCCTTACTAAGTCATGGCCATGCAGTATTTTCATTTATATAGGATGTCACCAGCAGGGCTCTGTATCCCTTCAAATCCTCATTGTAAATATGGTTTATAAAAACATATTTTCGTTATGTTTTCATATTTCATTATTTGAAGAAGAGAAAGAGCCACTCTTAGCCGATTGGCTGAACGCGTCAGCAGCTGGACTCATTTGCATATGCTTAAGAAAACCACTGTGCTGATCCGACAGAGCTCTCCATTAAAATGAACAGGAATGGCATAGTTGCAAGTTGGCACATACCGTTAGCATTAAACCGGCTGTTTTTTTAGCTTTAAGACTGATATGTAAATGAGCTCTGTTCTAATTGGCTGCCTCGTTTAAAAAGCAGTCCAGGCCAAAACTGTCCTTTTAAGTTCAGCATGATCAGGCAGAGCTAAACTCCTGTAGATGGATATTTGTGAATATGATTGTGACATGTTTTGCAATGTAGTTTCCTTATATAGGCTGTACGGGAGTTTTAAACTTAGACATTGTTTACATACTACACCAAATTAAGTTCAAAGCAGTGAGGAACTTTTGGTCTTCAGTGAAATGAACCATTAACGTTTTTGTGCGTCTCTCTGTTGCTGTTGAAGCGAATGCCTGTCTGTGTCCATCAGATAACATTGTTTGTATTAGCATGTCTGTCAGGGTGTGTGTGTGTGTGTGTGTGTGTGTGTGTGTGTGTGTGTGTGTGTGTGTATGAGAGAAAGAGAGACAGAAAGTTAGACTTTGCCGTAGAGAGTCAGCCAAAAATAACCGTGTCTGTGAGAGCGCAGTGTGCTGAAGAGAAAGCAGCTGAAATAACTGCAGGAAATGATGCAGCTGAGGTTCTACTATGAGGAACCAGAGATAACCACCTCACCCTCAGGCCCTCACTCTGTCTTTGACCAGACACAAACGTGCGCGGGTACTCGGCCCATCGCCTGCATGTTCACGTCAGAGAGCAGTCTGTGGTCGTGTCAGTGTTCTGAAGTGTTATCGGTCGTTTTGCTGGTCAGCACTGCAGCTGCGCTCAGTCCGACGGTTGTTTCTTCCTAATGTTACTGTCGCTTTGCTGTGCTGTTTAAATCAAACTGTGGAGTTACACAGCAGGCGTGGGAGATATGGCAAAAAATATCATATCACCATATTTTAAGACGTTTTAATGACACTATATTCGTCACAGTATTTAGTTTTTCTGAGGTTTGATAAGCTGGAAGAGACAAAAAAAGGACCAGTAGAGCCACATTTTATGAAGTTTGATCAAAAACTACAAATGGAGTAATGATTATTCAGTGTTTAACTGAATTAAGTTAATCAGGACTAATTAAGCTCCGTCTGTAATGAAATGTATAGGTGTGTATGTGTGTGTATGTGTGTGTGTATATGTGTGTATATGCTGCTGTGGGAACAAAACCTCGTATCTCCATTTCCCCATTTCCATTTTTTGTTGTTTTTCAGTTTTTTGACATAGATTGAAAATGAATGTTGGCCTTTATATTGTATACATTTTGTGGTGAATGGACCAAAAGAAACAGCCCAGAATTACTAGGAAATATTCCATAAAAAGTTATCGGTTTGGAGATACAAGGTTTTGTTCAGACAGCATATATATATATATATATATATATAATATATATATATATACACACACAATGTGACAGTTTATCACAATAATGATAAATATCATATAGCCAACATCTCTATCACTGTTAATTACATAGTTCATTACATTATGAATTATATTTACATTCAATGTAAGTATTTAAGGTCTTTATAAGCGGTTTCTGCACTTCTACCTTTTCCTGTCTGTTTTGTTGTCAAGAACATTGCAAAAATATAAAGAACGTAAATGTTTTTCTTTTTGCAAAACAAGACTGAACACAGCCATAACTTCATCAAATTTAAATCACAATAAAATCTCTCCTCGTCTGCTTACTCGTCTGCACCAACACTTTCCACACAGTTTCTCCACTTGTTTCAAAGAGCTAAGAGTCAGAAGTAATTCCTGTAAAATTACACCTTGCTCTTATTATTGCTGATATAACTGCAGTTTGTTAGTTATTTTCCTGCTATGATTCTTACACTTTTAACACCGCGAGGTTTTGGTGTTTTGGGGGGAAATGTGTGATTCTAAGCTGAGATACACTCAGCAAAAATGGTTTTGTTTGGTACTAAAAAGGTTTTTTTGACCTGTGACAGTAGCAGAACGCTTTCAGCCTGTAAATATATGAAATGCAAAGAAACATTAATGCATTCAGATGGTTCTTTGAGTGTTTATGATTTACAAAGAACCATTTCCTTTGCTAAAAAACCTCTTGGGTGTAAACTAAACTCTAATACACATCTAAAGCCGTGATGCTGTATTTGAAACACTTAATGTGTAATTAATACGTTCATCTTCCAGTAAAAACTGATGAGGAACACATTGCAGCTGATCCTAAACACCTCTGGCACACATTTGAATGTCTTTGGTATTGATACATTCAGAAACCATCCAGTAATAAGAGGGCAGAACGTTGTTGAACAGATCATTTTTAACTGGATGCAGTTCTGTAAGAGGTCAGATTTTGAAGCACACAGTTCACAAAAGAAACACCAGCACTAATTCAAAACACTATGAAACATCCAGTTTATATATATTTTAGGGAAAAAATGTTGGAGTTTTATTTTAATATGTGTGTAATAAGCTCTTTTGATTGGTTCTTCAGGTGGAGCAGTCCAAAGTGCTAATTAAGGAGGGTGGCGTCCAGCTCACGCTGACCATTGTGGACACACCAGGGTTTGGTGATGCCGTGGACAACAGCAACTGGTGAGTCGCCTTCCATACATGGACATTTTGGGACTTGAAAAGTATTTTAAGGACCTTTTTAGGGAGTTTTTGGGATGCTTGTAACCCCATTGGGACGTTTTAAAGAGTCTATTTTTAGCCTCAGACTTCAGAGTGACGATGCTGGGTAGTCGTGGTCAGAATGATGATGCGCTGCTATAAACATGATAGATGCTGAGTATATCATGAGGATGCACAGTGAAGCATATCAGTGTCGGCAGATAATTGCTTTAAAAAACAGCTTTAGAAACAGATGGACTGTTTCTCTGCATACTTTGTTAGCCCCCTTTTACCCTGTTCTTCAGTGGTCAGGACCCCCATGGACCCCCACAGAGCAGGTACTATTTGGGTGGTGGATCATTCTCAGCGCTGCAGTAACACTGACGTGGTGGTGGTGTGTTAGTGTGTGTTGTGCTGGTCTGAGTGGATCAGACACAGCAGTGCTGCTGGAGTTTTTAAACACTCACTGTCCACTCTATTAGACACTCCTACCTTGTCGGTCCACCTTGTAGATGTAAAGTCAGAGACGATAGCTCATCTGCTGCTGCACAGTTTGTGTTGGTCATCCTCTAGTCCTTCATCAGTGGTCACAGGACGCTGCCCACAGGACGCTGTTGGCTGGATATTTTTGGTTGGTGGACTATTCTCAGTCCAGCAGTGACACTGAGGTGTTTAAAAACTCCAGCAGCACTGCTGTGTCTGATCCACTCGTACCAGCGCAACACACACTAACACACCACGGTGCTGAGAATGATCCACCACCCAAATAGTACCTGCTCTGTGAGGGTCCATGGGGGTCCTGACCACTGAAGAACAGGGTAAAAGGGGGCTAACAAAGTATGCAGAGAAACTACATATTATGAAGTATTGCTGTGTTACGTTACATATTGTCCATACTAAAGTGTTCCAGGGACTTTTAATTTCCCACTTTCTCCTCTGACCTTCCGCCACCCATTCACTCGTTTTTTTTTTCCCTCTTCTCTTCTCCTCTTACTCCTCTCTCACTCTCTCTCTTTCCCTCCTGCAGCTGGCAGCCAGTCATCAACTACATCGACAGTAAGTGTGAGGATTTCCTGAACGCTGAATCGCGGGTGAACCGAAGACAAATGCCAGACAACCGGGTGCACTGCTGCCTGTACTTCATCGCCCCCTCTGGCCATGGGTGCGTACTGCTGCCACAAAGCCTGACACAAATCCACCTCCTCCTTCTGCAGCTCAAAATAGACTCTCACATGAAAGGGGAAATGTGTAGATTCGCTCAGCTGTATGAGCGTGAGAACAAAAAGGAATGACAGTGTGACGCAGTGCAGACCTGTGCTGCATTGCAGTGCAATGAAAGCCTCGTAGATCCAGTGGAGCATTACTTCTAATCTCTGACGTCACAGCGATTCAGTGTGATTATTAAGGCAATAAGCCATGAGAGACATGTGAAGGATGTTCAAAGTACTGTTAATAATAACATAAACAAGTATTTTGCCAAGAAATATGTTTCCTTTAGAGTACGGTATCGTTGCCAGGCAACCATGAACCGCTGAATGAGAAGAACGTTTGGTCGCCCATCGCTTTTTTAACTTTTATCATATAACAGTGAACATATGATAACACATCACTGTTTAATGCAAAAACTTTTGCTTTATAAATACTTTTTGGACACTAATTTACCACCGCGAGTCTTATTTAGCACCAATCTAGCAGCGCTCTTCTCATGCTGGGGCTGAATCTCAAATGTCTCCCTGCTCCCTACATAGTGACTACGTAGGAGTTTAAATACTGGATCCTGCAGCCCAACAGAGCAAAATACAGCTAAGAAACAGTCATTTGGGACTCAGACACATCCACACTCAACAAATGATGCACTATTTGGCTGCAGAGGCTAGAATTTCTAAACTTTCATAGCTAGAACACTATTTAGGGAGTACAGAGCCGTTCGGGATTCAGTCTGGGTTTGACAAGATTTCTGACTGAAACAGGAACATTTGAAGCATGTAATCCATTTTAAATTCTGTGATATTATTGGATATTGGATAATATTGGATATTAATGATGGAGCTGTTTAGGCTGTTGGCTCTTTTAGCCTGTTAGCTAGCTGACCAGCCCAGTTCTAGTTAAGAACATAAGTTTTCAGCCCCTCAGTTTAAACAAAAAACAGATTCTTACTTCGTCAGTACACTCGGAGGTCCATGAGGGCAGCATCACAGTCAAAGATTACTCCATTAACAGCACAAGGAGTTTTCATGCTGTGACACAGAAATGCACAACTCAGTTGTTGTGAGGCGGTCATACGTGTGTGTATGTTGTGGATTTTATGTCTTTGAATGCTGCTCAACCAATCAGATGTGAGGACCGGAACTATCCATTTTATAAGATTCTTTAAGAAACAGTTTGGTACATTATGGAATCTCAAGCTGATTTTGGAATCTCTCCCTGTTGGATAAATAGTATTATACAACACTAAGTTGTAAGCTGATTGGTTGAGAAGCGTTCTGACCGTGCTGTTATTTCACCATCACAGTTTTTTCACAAACACTCTATCACTCCGCTGAGACGCCGTTGCTAAGCAACGACTTTGACAGCTGTAGGAGTCACTCAAGCCATTTGAACATTTTTACTACTGACTTTGCCACAAACAGGAAATGGACACTTTTAAGATCACATTTGACCGACAGCAGATTTGGTCAGACTCTGAAGATGACGCTACACTAAATTCCCAAACTGTCGTCACCACTGAGCAGCTTTTCAATCGGCAGCTGTGACAGAAGAACAGCTGAACAACCTGGAATCAGCCAGAAATGAACCCAGCACCATTCGCCAAACTAAATGGGCTGTAAGATGCTTTACAGACTGGCTGGAACAAAACAACATTAATACTGATTTGGCAAAAACTGACAAAACTGAGCTAAACCTGATATTGCGGCAGTTTTATGGCTCAGTCCGATTTGGTCCAACTCTGAAGATCAGTCACGTTTGGCGAATGGTATTGGGTTCATTTCTGGCTGATTCCAGGTTGTTTAGCTGTTCTTCTGTCTCAGCTGCCGACTGAAAAGCTGCTCAGTGGTGATGACAGTTTGGGAATTTACTGCCGGCTGTGCAGCGAGTGGGCGGAGCTCGTTACTGTGACGTAGCAACAAGCTGCTCGTTAAAGAACTATAATTTGGTGAAGGAACTGCGAACATTAAAACATATTAAACGCCGCGTTCACAGCCCAGTTTATTAATTTATTACTGTATTTATTTAACTGTTGTATAAAGCAATAGAGCACTCGAGGAGTGTGTTACCGCAAACAACATCACGGCTGTGATGATCTACGGTGACCAAATCACAGCTGTGATGTTATTTCGCGAAAACACACTCCCTCTGTGCTCTATTGCTTAACTGTATGGTGTGTCCGCCCTTTGGTAGTGTTCTGAGTGATAAATCTTTCAGTCATTTCACAATCATTCTCCAGTCAGTACAGCAGTGAATCAGTCCCAACACAGTGTCAGATTTCAACATGAAAGCAAGAAGCACAACTGTGAGAGAAAGGGTTGGCGAGCTGTGCTCATGTCCAGCACAGTTTGGTGATTTTTTTTCTGACCTTAACACACCTGGCAGTTAACTACAGGGTTGAATCAGGTGTGTTTGAGCAGGAGAATCACCAAACCGTGCTGGACACTCCAGGACTGGAGCCAATGGGCTTTTTATCTAGTAAGAACTTCATTTTCACATGGGTAAATGGAATTGTGAACAGGATGTTGCGGAGCTTTACGTGACTCAGTGGAAGCACATGCCTGCCTTCTCCCTCCCAGCTCGGTAGTAGTGTGTTAGATGGAGACGTAACTGGACTGGAAAATAAAAAAAATATATATATATATAAAATAATCATCCCAGAAACTGTCACATATTTCATGGAATATTAATCTTATCTTTTCTAGTAAATTGTCAGACGGATAATTCAGGATGCAGTGATGTATATTTTACTATTTCTATCGTAGTCTGGGACGCAGTGAAGCAGCAGAGTGTCAGAGTTTGACATAGATGTTGCCCCCCCCGCTCCATGACCCAAAAACATTAGGTAATGGTCCCTAGACTGAGCCGCTCTGCGGAGGATGAGACATGATGACTCTTTCTTGCTCGCTCCTATTCAGATAATCGGCCAATCAGAGGCAGCCTCTCCCTGAATCCTCAGGGGTCAGCTTCTTCCAGACTGACGCTTTATTTTTAGCTAAGAAAGCTGAAGATATGCAGCTCTGATGTGAAGCAGTGAGCGTTTATATTAATATTTGTATAATTTGGATGGTTTATTCTAGGGGTGGGCAGTATGTTGTGATACTATGTCTCAATAAGCCACACAGTGTTTCCTGAGCAAATAATGGACAGTACTTTAGAGGTTAGAGCACATCATGTTTCATAGTAATGAGAGCTTCATTAATCCTTTTTAACTGGATTGAGTGCACCACAGTATTTAAAATAAAATCATTGCATTTATAGTTTTTGATGGTGATTTTGATATGTGGGGCTTTTATGTCTGCTCCAACATAACAAACCTCAGAAAAATATTGTGTATTGTAAAAATGTCTTTAAGAATCGTGATATTTTATTTTTCCATATCTCATGTGCCTCTGTTTGGTACAGGTAATGCTATATATTGTTCTATATAATTAGCAGATGCTCAACATGCAGCATTGTAGCCGTATATGTTGTTATCAGAACATCCAGTACTTTGCAAAAGTCAGAGAGCATCTTTGATTTTTTTAATTTCTATTCAAAACTGACATTAAGTACAAGTTATTCTTTTTTCAGCGTTGGGGAAAGAAACACATTTTACTGCAAATTAAGACTCAACAACTGAATCTAATCTCAGCTGTGTGAGTGTTCAGTGTTCAGTGAGTCACTCTGTACCTTTATTCCAGCTTCCATTCTTTTCAGGAGACTCACTTTTCAGCTCCTCAAAGAATCTGCAGACACACCTCCAAAGTTCAGTCTTAGAAGCTGGTTGATCATTTTCTGAAGTAATCAAACACAGTGATGTTGAGGTCTGGACTCTGGGGTGGTCAGTCCATCGTTCAGCTTCTTTGTTTGATGTGTCCGTCTCCTTTTCTCAGTGAGGTTCTTCTTGAACAGCTACACATCCTTTCAGACCCACAGCGCTGAGTCGTCTTCTCACAGTGGAAGGATGGACAGAAACACCTGTGGATGTTTTCAGATCTAAAGCAGCTTGATTTTCTCCTCTCTCTCAGAGATGAGAGCTTTAAGTGCTGTTTATCTGATGGGGGCAGTTGTGGTGTCTACCAGGTCTTCCAGGTGGTTGTTAGGAGACACATTTTCTCTGTAGCTTTTAATTATTGGTTTGAACTCCAGCTTTAAAAACTCTTTTCACTTATTCTCCTTCCTTATGCAAGCTGTTGTGTATCTAATCTCCTCACAAGTAGCTCATTTTGTGATTGTGAGCACAACTTTAATGTGGAAAATCCAGTAACTTTCACTGGAGGCCACGTCGCCAGCATCAATGCCTTCAGCACAGAAAAACGCTGAACCCTAACATGCTATGGAAAATGTTGACCGTGCTCTCAAACAGCTGTGAGTTTTTCCATAAAGACTGTTTTTGGCGTGACACTGTGCGCCGCAGCGGCTTCCATGTCTCTGTAACCTCTGGAGCTCCAGTTGATGCTTCACATTCCCGAGATGCATGAACTGCCCCTCGATTGCCCCCATCTCTCCGCTGTAAACACACACACACACAGAGTGCATAGAGAAGAACTGAGTCTTTGTCTGAAAGACAGCGGAAAGCGAGAGAGACTCAGTGATGTGAAGCCGGCGCTGGCGCTTCCAGAGTGACGTGATTTTGTAGGGAAAAAAGACTCAAGAGAACAGTGTTTCTCATGGATCTGTTCCGAACACATCCCATCACATCAAACAACACACAACAGCTGTGTGTTCTTGTGACAGCTGGAAAAAAGCTCAAATTTTCATGCAAACCTGTGTAGATTTATATGTGGTGTAGTAGTGTTGTAGTACTTTAGTCTGATCTTTGTTTTCGAGGCTGTAAAGAGACTTTAGGGCCTTATTAACATGGTAACACTTTATTTGGATGGTCCACTGTAGATGCTTCGTAAATGCTCAGTATATCTTTAAGTAACATTCAATTCAATATCCATTAAATGCAGCTGAACCTCAAGTTCAATGTAAAAGAGTTTATTAAATCTAGCCCTAATCTTAACCTTAACCTAAAGGCCAAACATACATCCACTCCTAACCCTCACACTAACCATAATGTTGTTAACTGAGCATCACCAGAAGGTTTGTTAATGATTTAAGTATGTGTAGAGCATCTATAGGGGACCGTCCAGATAAAGTATGACCATAAACACTGCCCTACAGTGAAGAGCTTCCACCTTTCCTTCTAATAGTGTTCTGTAGCTTTTCAAATACACTGTATGTCCAAGTTTGTGGACATCTGCTCCTCTAGTGTTTCCTCTGAAATGAATGGGTATTAATAGTGAGTTTGTCCCCCTTTGCTGCAGTAACAGCCTCTTCTCTCCTGGGAAGGCGTTACAGTAGATGTTGGAACATTTCTGTGAGGATTTGATTGAGCATTAGTGAGGTCAGGTACTGACGTTGGATGGTCACTTCTGGATCACTCCAACTCATCCCAAAGGAGCTCCATCACTCCGGAAAACACAGTTCCACTGCTCCACAGCCCATTGATGCCGCTAATCAATAGACCCCCCCGATCGGTGCTTGGCATTAGGCATGATGATCTTAGGCTTATGTGCAGCTGCCCCATTCTATTGGTCAGTGTGAATGGGTGCAAATTATGGTAGAATTCAGTAATTAGAAGAGCTGTCTGGATACCTTTGGACATATAATGTAGGTGATTATAGATTTGTTTATGTTAAAATTGACCAATATGTGTCTTTCAGTCTGAAGCCTCTGGATATTGAGTTCATGAAGCGTCTTCACGACAAGGTCAACGTCATCCCCCTCATCGCCAAGGCAGACACGCTAACACCAGAGGAGTGCCAGCTCTTCAAGAAACAGGTATGTGTGTGGACTATTTTTACTCGTTAAGCTGTCTTTTTTAGTTTGTCCTCTAAATGCTTCCCTTTTTTCATCTTGTTCTAGATTATGAAGGAGATTCAGGAGCACAAGATTAAGATCTATGAGTTTCCGGACACAGAGGAGGACGAGGACAGTAAACTCATCCGCAAGATAAAGGTACAGAGCTGGAGAGGAGTGGATCAGTGTCTCCACAGTCATCCACCCACATTAGAGTGAAATCACATGCACTGCGCTTACGTCTGGCACAGTCAGATATCCAGTCTTAGTTTTGGCCCTCGATCGAATATGATATTTGGTGATTTAAGTGAAAATAAGTTAACACATCTGTAGGAAACCTAAATATGGCATATTTCTGCAAATTTTAATTAGTTTGATGTAAACATAAAATGTGGCATGTGCCCAAACGTTTGCATATGTTGCATTTTATCTATCCATCCATCCATCATCTAAACCGCTTATCCTTCTGGGTCGCGGTGGGGTGCTGGAGCCTATCCCAGCTGTCATTGGGCAGAAGGCAGAATACACCCTGGACAGGTCGCCAGTCCATCGCAGGGCATGTTGCATTTTATGTTTTATTTTTTTATCCAATATATTAAAATTAGCGAATACATAGAAACTGGGCATTAAAATTGTGCACATATGTGTTCCCTATAGAGGATTAGTGAGTATATGAGTATTATTTTCACTTTAAAAACTATCAACGAAGTGTTTCATTTGACCAGGGGTGCCCAAACTTTTGCATAAGACTGTATCATTGCTTGTATCTCCAGAAACTTTTAGGAGAGAACAAAAACATTTTGTTCCAAGTAATTTTGGACATTTTGCTTGGTCCATTTGTCATGACATGTTCTAACAATGTAAAAGGCAGCTGATGTTGCAAAACAAAAACAAAAATGAATGAATCAAATCTATACATTCCTCTTTCTCTCTCACTAAAACTGAGAGATAAAGGTGTTTTGACAGTGATGTATTCAGCATATATCTGTAAATTGTTTGATATATTGTTTCTGTATACTGCATATGAAGAGAATTCCATGTATTGTTCTGTGTGTAATACAACCATATAACTCTGTAATTATATGTGATCCAGACGCAGTACATTCAGTACACGTCCACACGCAGGTCAAGCCTAGTACCAGTGCCTAATCAGCAGGGGTACATAAACACGTGCACAGAGCACATAGGATAACATGGATTTCCTTTAACATTGAACTGATGACTCTCCCTGTCTAACCCACGCCTCCTAAACCAATCAGTACTGTGTAGGTAGAAGATGATGTGACTGCGATGTGGTGATTAATGTTCCATTGATTTTGAGCTCCCGAGATCAATAAGTGATCTCTGTTCTCATCAGTGATGTTCCCAGGCACGACTTTGTGTGTTTATATAACTGTTTATGCATGAAGAAGCACCACCTCATATATCTGTAGTTTGTGTGTGTTTGTTTTTGTGTATTTTCCAGACAAAAAGTCATATATATGTATGTATGTATGTATGTATGTATGTATGTATTCCTCGATGAAAAGTCAAAGTATGTGAAAAGTATCTCCAGTTAAACATACTCAATTTGTAACAAAACCGTTTGGTAGTGTGTGGTGTGGTGACTGGCCCTCACACAAAGACAGACCGGTGTGTTGTGAGAGGTTTCACTTTATACAGATATAAATTCTGTTGGATGTTTTAATAAAAACAGTACATTCAGATGCCCAGAAACTAGGTGTTAATGAAACTGGGGAGTTGAAAATATTTTTTGGAAATGTAATTGATTGAGTACAAGTATTAAATTTTAATGATACTTAAGAAATATACATATCTTTCATAATGATACTTAAATACAGTAACAAAGTACAGTTACACACATATTTCCCACCCGTGTTTATATACACATCAGTGCTGTCAGAACAAAACCTGTCAGGAAAAAACATGCTTGATTTTCAATGAATGTCAAAAGATGTTGGTACAGTTTGTCAGACACAGTTATTATATCTGGTCTTTAAGCGTTTATTTGCTCCAAAAACAGTAATTGTACTTACTTTAATGCATGTAATGTAATACAAATATATATGTGTGTATGTATGTATGTATATATATATATATATATATATATATATATGTGTATGTAAAACCAAACTGGCTGCTTTTTTAAAAACAAGAAATTATTACTTTTACTTTTTACTGTATTTGTTTATTTGTATTTATATATATATATATATATATATATATATATATATATATATATATATATATATATGTATATGTAATGTTTTACAAGCAAGCATGTATTACCAATATAAATGGTTTTATAATGTCTTTAAGTACCTAAAACCTTCGCACGGTATTGTGTGTATAGTAAATATGGATCTTACATATGACCTGATGTCCCGACAGGAGATAAAAACAAACATCAGGTGTGTGTGTGTGTGTGGGTGTGTGTGGTCGCTTTGAGTTCTCTGTAATTAACTCTGCTCTGTGTGTGTTTGTTTGTGTGTGTTGTTTGTGTGTGTGCGGTAGGAGCGGATGCCTCTGGCTGTGGTCGGCAGCAATGTGGTGGTCGAAGTGAATGGGCGGAAGGTCAGAGGCCGCCAGTACCCCTGGGGCGTGGCAGAAGGTACGTTCCACACCAGCATTACCTAAATGGGGGGTTTTTGTTGGGTCTGTACCACTTTTGTAACAGAATTGGGGGGGGTGCACTGATGCTAGTGGACGAAGCACTGGCGTACAAGACTGCAACAGAAACACATGATCTCTAAAAGCAGACCTCTGTTAGTGTCCCAAGGGAAGGATTCTGGAAAAGGGGGTACAGGTGCACCCTGGGTATTGTAGTTCTGTTATAGTGAATGGTCACTGCATCCTTCCTCTGAGAGAGAACCCCTCTCACATCACGAACCACGATTGACTTGATGTTGTGTTGGTTTTCCCACTTTTTTTTTCTTTCTTCCTCTACAAAATCCCCCCCTTTTCTCCCAAGCGACTCTGTTGATTTTCTTCAGTTTGAATCGTTCTTATGTGCTGGGTGAGTGTTTGTTTTCTTTTTCTTTTTCCTTTCAGTCGTTCACGTCTCATTCTTTCTTTTTTCTCTTTTTTTCTTTCTGTCTGTTCTTTTCCATGACTGACAGAGGGCATTTTTGGTAAACAATACCATTCTTCATTTTTATACTACTTCCCCCTCTCTCCCGTCCCCTAAAGCCCCCCACCCCCACCCCACCATCCCCTTCCACTCTTTTCGTTTGCTGTGAGTGTGCTACAGAACAAGGTCGTGCTCTACCAAAATAGTCATGGAGAAACCTATAAGCAACACTGGCTGGTAGAAATAGAGCAAGATCGCTCTCTAACTCATGTTTATAGGTTCCTAATTATTACCCATGTACCCAAACAACCCCTCCCCCTTCAAAAAAATGCATGCTACCCATTATTTGGTTCCAACTCTTATTTTTGCCTCATGAAGATCCATTGACATGTGGGGTCAAAATATGTGGTGACACTTGCAGTATATTTTAAAGACTTTGAAGATTTTAAAGAAATTGATAACAAGCTAAATTGACAACAAGATGACTATACTGGGTTTTATTAAGATCAGGTTTCTTGCAAAGAGGCCGCATTCATTTTTATTTTTACTTTATTTTAAAGTTTTAAAGCTCACAAAAAAGTTTTAAAGCTGGTGGTGGGGTGTCTGATGGATACTCTGGGCTCATGTACTGAGCCTTTTGGACCAGTTTCGGGCACAGATCGGATGCAGTTTACATGCTGTGCATTGAAAAATATCTCCTGCAGTTTTTTTTTTTTTTCTACACCATTTGAGCAGCTGTCCTTTACATTGTGTGAACATTTTGTGATGAATGGACCAGCAGAAATGCTCCAGAATTACTTGGAATAAAATCTCTTTACATTTTCTTACATTAAAAGTAAAGATTGTCTTTGTCTGCTGCTGTAAAGTTGCCATTTTGAATTGTTGTTTTGTTGGTTTTTTATTTTATTATTTTTTTTTTTTGGAAAGTGTCACACAAAATGGCTGCACAAAATGGGGGTGAAGAGGGTAAATCACACCAAAAGTGGGTGGAGATATTATAAGCGCATGAGAAGACGCAGCTCAGATTATGCAGTGAAATATTGCACACAGTCCATGTAAAATATCACCCCTGTAGGGTGGTTTACTGGGAAAGAACGTCGTTTGTCAACACTGCTGTCTCTCCATCACTGAATTTTTTTTTGTTTTTTTGTACGGAGCTTGTTGACGGCCCCATCATTTCGCTGGGCCTGTTAAACCCTGCACCTCACGAGCGAGCAGTTAGTGGGCGGGGCTGTGCGCTGTTTGCATAATAAGCTGCAGTCTTAGTACAGCGAACGTTAATGTCAGCTGCATTGTAAGCTGCGGTCCCATCGAGGCACATCGTGTTCTCCCCAGCATGTTTTTAGATTATAGGCTGTCTCTCAAACGCAGCATGTTGTTCTCAGAACATTTGCAAAATTGCAAATATGGATTGAAGATATGGATTTACAGAATTCATATCTAACAGCATCAGCATCCTTCTCTTCAGATTCAGTCCAAAACTCTTATACACATGTTGCATTGGAGTGAGTTGCCCTATTGTAATTGAAGTTCATAGAGGTGGATGATATGGAAAAAGTATGATATCATGATACATGATACGCCACGATATATATTTTTTTTTTCAGACCTCTCATCAGGAAAATTTTCAAATATACTATCAAAAACTGTGGATACAATGATTTTTATTCAGTATTTGGCACTAAATCCAGTTAAACAGGACTAATTTTGTTCTCTTTATAATGTAACATGCAGGCGGTCAGTGTCTACAAGTACTAATGATATCCATGATATATTCAGAAAAGCATATTGTATTGTGATATAATTTGTCACAATAACAATATATACGGTACAATATATACAGGCACGTGCACTTAAACTATCGATTATCATGGTTGTACTCATATGACCAGACCAGGGCTCCCACCAACCCTGCCATATATCAGCTGACCATTCAGTTCTATCAGCTGTTTATTTTCAAAGTTAAAATTCCACTCAAGCTGTATTTAAAGGTGTTTGCTGCTGCTGTGCCATCGAAATGCGACCCCTTCAGTAGAACTACAAATCCCATGATCCCTCATGGCCCTGTGATCCCTCCCCTGCCCCGCCTCCTTCCGGCTCCATCAGTCTGGCTGGTTCCTCTCCGCTTGTCATTGCCACGCCATGTAACCCCACCACCAACCCACCATTCTTAGCTGTAGTAGCCAATCAGGGTCGCAGGTCTCCTGCAGCAGAGACTTTGAGCTCCAAAGCCCCGCCCCTTCACCAGCTTCCTCACAGGTAGGTGGTTGTAGCGGATGATTGATGTGGGGCGGTCAGTGAGCACCTGCTCCTCGTCCTCCTCCTGGGTAAGGTGTCCCTGGTCCATTCGGACTGGTTCTTGCTTTCAAGCATGTTAGCATTCTTACAGCAAAGCTTATAGTCATTAAGGGGGCGAATGAGACTTGCTGAGGTAAATGATCTGTTTTAGGGGGGATCTGACCTCCCATTATACCAAAAACATGACTGCAAAACAGAACAACTAGAGGCTGAGCATGAGAGAGTCCTCAGTGAATGGGAGTGAATGAAGCTAAATGGCAAAAACAAGGTAATTAAATAAGTTTTAGCAGTAACCATAGACATTCATGCAGGAATTTACTTAAGGAAAGTGTATTAAATAACAAAAAGCAAAGGAAATCAAAGAAAATACAACATAATTCAGTTGTTATTAAGAATTTTTAATCATAAGCTTTAATGCTGCCGAGTGTTGATTTGTTGGCAAACTGATCAGCTCAAAATAAGAGTTTAGAAGCATTAAAAATGTATAAAAGGATATTATTATAAACTATAATATATATATATATATATATATATATATATATATATATATATATATATATATATATATAAAGGATAGGAAACAAATGCATTTGTCTCAAAATGCTCCATAAGCCCTCATTTATTTTGGACTCTGTTGTGAGTGCCCTCTAGTGTCAGTGAGTGGAAGTTCCCTCTGAGTAGAAATTCTCTGTAAGCAACACACCCACGGCTTCTTCCTGAAGGAAACAGCGTCTGTGGTCTTTCCCAGAATTCCAGCTGATGATCTGAAAGCATCTGTTGTTGTTTGTTTTGTTTTCCCAGTTAACGGTCCAGACTGCTGCTAACTAGCCCCCGATGTCTGTGTTTGACCGTTTAACCACGTCACTGCGCTCTGTCTCTCTGTGCTGACAGCTGTTTAAACGTTTAATCTGTAAACGTCTGTGTTTGTTTGCTTGTTTACCTGTTAACCACCTGACCGGGATGGGTTTTGTCTCCATTTGTTTGAAGGCTAATCATCCTTTTTCTGCTGTGCAAAGTCTGAGTGTCTGAAACGTTTGTCTGCTTTGAAGTGAAGAGCTGTCCTTTCCCGTTTGGTGTTTTCTTAAAGACTTGTCTTGCATTTCGTGTCTTCATTCTTTCGTCAACTATAACTGATCGATTGTTTCCCATCAGTGTCCTAAGAAAACCTTCAGGCTCTGATTAAAAGAGTTCACACTAACTTTTATGCCTTCGGAGTGTTCAGCAACTTTAGTTTGGGGGATCCGCAGTGTCATAGAGTTCAGAGTACAGTTGGAAATGGAAATTTCCCAGTTATCCTTTTCATTTCCTGTCATATTTTCCACTGTATTCTGACCCCTAGATGCTCCACAGTGAAGGAAAAGCTGTCAGTTGAGTGAAACACGAAAGCTCCTTTCGTTGAAGAGTTTCATTTGTTTGTGGAGATGCTGCGTTTTCTTACGGCAACATTGACATGCATGAGAAAGATAAATAATAAGTGAGCTTTAAAGGACAAGTCCACTGATTTTTCAGCTTTTCTGCATAATTCGGTCATTGAGAAGTAGACAGAGTCGTTCAGAGTGGTTTGATATGAAATGAGGTCAAGATTACTACGACGCAAATATAGCCACTTTATTTACTATCCAAAACCACCAGTGAACCAACACGAGTCTTCTGAGCTTCTATATATATTTTTTATAATAAAAATTCTGGAAAATCTAAAAAATATGTTTTATCTGGGGACTATTTTGCCTCACGCCTTGCGTGTACCCCTCCACTGGGAATGGATTTAAAACATTCCTTTTAGGCCAAAACTCATCAAACAGTCATCAGGCAGCGTTTTCATAACCTGTAATAACCTTCTGTGAAGGACTTTTTAGAGGTGGACGTCTGGTTCCTATCACCACCACTGTGAACAATTCTGACTCTACAACAGAGCGTTTCATAGCAAACCACTCTGAATGACTCTGTTGATCTTTATTGTAATCCAGGGGTCTTAAATTAAAATTCAGTAAGGTCCAGTTAGAGAAAATGTCCTCAAGCGAAGGTCCAGAACATCATAACATCTGACCTGCATTATGACTCAGTGCCATATACTGTTTACTGAAGTAGCCTAGTAGGTATATCAACATCTTATACAGTCAAAAACTGAATATCAAATCAAATAAAGTACAATTCAGTCATATTTCAACAACATTTATTGTCAGTTTTCTCTTTTTAGATCACGTCATGTGAAATAACTTCCCTCTGACTCACTTTCTTCTCTGACTGCTGTTTCTCACCTCGTCCCTCCCCTGTGTGACCATCACTCACTCGAGTCTCAGTGCTCATCATAATGCACAGATCTGATTGGCTGAGTAGCATTACGTATGATATTTACAATGCATGTGATTGGTCTGTGAGTTTCACACCAAACCACTCTGACTCTGTTCACATCTTAACCACTTAATTATGCAGAACGTATTGAACTATTAGTGGAGTTCCCCTTTAAATCCTGTGTGTGCAGCATGGTATAAAAGCCTGTTCTAATAGAGCTTCGGTCAGTCTGTATATTCATGCGGCTGCAGTGTCAACACACCTGAGGCAGGTAACCTGAGACGCAGAGTCATGGATTACCTGGTTCAGGTGTGCATGTTTACTGGTTCAGATCAAAATACAGACTGTCTGTTACGCATCATTAAGATCAATGCAGTGATGTGAGTTGTTACAGTCCAGTTGTTTAAAAGAGGGTCAGTTTTGTTGTGTACAGGTCTGTTAGAGATGCTAAACTAACAAGCTAACCTGTGTGTGTTTGTGTTGCTGTTTCAGTGGAGAACGGCGAGCACTGTGACTTTACTGTTCTGCGGAACATGCTCATCAGGTAAGACGCTCCTACGCCAGGCCCTCATCTCTCACAGCAGCTGGATTTCCGTTCAAACATTTTCAGATTTCTAAAAAGGCGGTGAAAGAAAATATGAATTAATAAGCAGCTACGTTTCAGACTGCCTGTTTCAGTCCGAGGGAAGGGTGATAGTTGCATCCTCGGAAAGTTGAGGGTTCGAGTTAACACTAGTGTCGACTTCAGCAGCAGAACTTGCCCAGAAAACGTTGCAGCATGACTTATTTCCCTTTTCAAACTCGAAAATAATAGCTGTTTATAAGCCACAGCAGAAAAGTAGTTTAAAGTGCTTAACGTTTCATATCCATTCGAATTGCTTTAGGTTGCAAAATAGTCCATCTCTTATATATGACGGCTGAGACGCCTTCACTTTCCTCTGCTAGGTGACTAGATAGCATGCCAAAGCCTACACAGCTAACAACTACAAAGAAAAGGCACTGCCCTGCTAGAACAACCAGCATGGACCAGCATGTCTGATCACCACCAACACCAGTATATGTTGTGTTTTGGCACTGGTTTGCTGCTGGGGTGACCAGCTAAACCAGCACTAGTCCAGCGTGAACTGCTTGCTGGTCTGTGGTGCTTTTTCAGCAGAGTACACCACGGTTCCACATCTCGTTTATAGCCAGACAAAGCAATTACTCATAAACAATATGCTCAAACTTCGCAAAAAGTGTTTTATATGAAAATAATCTGCTCCTCGCTGTCCCCTCCTCGCTGTCCCCTCCTCCTCTTCGGCCGTGAGTGACCACTTGTTAACGCAGATGTAATGCACATGCCAGTGGAGAGTCAAAGTAGGCGAGGGCAAGTTAAAAGAAGAGCTGAGACAGAGACATAAAGTTTCTAATGTAGGCCAATATCCACCAACCTTTCTCTTTCGACCTTGGCAGAGAAATTTTGTACAGATCAAAATACACAGTGATGCAAATGATGCAAAACTTATACATCCACAATTATATTACAGGAAATGACATCATTGCATAAAGCATTTTATCACAGTTTGATGGAAAAAGGCTGCCGGGCAGTTTTTTAAAATGCATTTTCATTCTGTCGCTTGTAATTGATGAAGAAAGTGGACAGAACCGTGGCTGTTGTTTCGAACTATAGCAAATTCCTGAAGATGACGTCACACACCTGAGGCATTTAAGGGATTTGAACTTTGACTACCTTTCAGTAAAGCAGTTTACTGACTGTAGTGCTAACAGTTCAGAGATGCTGGGCAGAGCAGAGTGGACAGTGACCCATTTAGTGAGGGCTGAAGTTGTCATCCCACTTCACTGTCACCCAGCGAGTCCCTGTGAACATCACTGCAGCAAACAGTACTGACTGAATGGAGTGACTTTTGTTTCCACTACGTCTTCAATTACTTGAAAAATCTGTTTCCATCACTGTTTTTTACCTTTCTCTTATACCTCATCCAAACCTTTTTTTGCAATATTAAAGCTTTTTTTTCTCAGTTTTTCTCTTTTTTTTGTAATATATTTTCAAAAATCATAAAAAATTTGCATGGAGGTGGATGGAAAACCCCCAGGTGGCAGCACAGAGGTGCTCTACACAAACAGATACAAACCAAGATCTGAAATCATCTCTGTTCTCAAGTTTCTCTCTGCAGATACAGATTCTTATTTGTATGTTGAGGTTTTTGTGACTGAGCTGTAAAACAGAAACAGCTCATTCAAAAAGCTGTGTTTCTGATCAGGACTCACATGCAGGATCTGAAGGATGTGACCAATAACGTTCACTACGAGAACTACCGCAGCAAGAAGCTGGCCGCCGTCACCTGCAACGGAGTGGACGCCAGCAAGAGCAAGGGTCAACTGACCAAGTATGCCACCTTCTGACCATTCAGAGAATTACAGCTGTTACAGTATAACAGAGTAATACAGTATTAGTGTCAGCGTTAGTAATGCAGTGTTAGTCATACAGTATTGCAGAGTAAGATGCTTTCCTGTGTGGTTATAAAGTACTTATGTTTGGATACAAACAATATTTTTAAGAAATTTAAGACCTTATTGTTAAGAAATGAAAGTTAGGAGGTGAACACTGTGAACATTACATTCATTTATAGAATACTGATAAGGTGTGGTTTGTATTTGGCTGCTATTCAGAGATTTCGGATATTCTGTTCACCACTAGAAAGAGACTTTTAGTCTAGACTTCTGATAGAATCGTCTGTTTGTGTGAATGTGTGTGTTTGTGTGTCAGTGTACGTACATGTTTATCAGTTTGGTGGATGTTTATTAGTTTGTTGGATGTGTTTATTGACAGTTCCTCACGGTGTTGGTTGTGTTAGTGTTTCTAATGATGGTGTGTGTTTGTGGTCAGGAGTCCTCTGGCTCAGATGGAGGAGGAGCGGAGAGAGCATGTGATGAAGATGAAGAAGATGGAGACGGAGATGGAGCAGGTGTTTGAGATGAAGGTCAAAGAGAAGAAACAGAAACTGAAGGACTCCGAGGCAGAGGTGCGTGTGTGTGTGTGTTTGTGTGTGTGTGTGTGCTTGTTTTTACACATTTTCAGGACAAAAAATAGGGCTAATATGTACGAGGAACAAAATGATCATGACTTTTTCAAGTGTTTTTAATTTAAAAAATCTGTGTTTTATTTGTTTAAAACTGAAAGAAAACATCTCTTTTTGGTTCCCGAAATTAGAAAATATTTATTTTTTATTTAAATATACAATAAATGTTGTATTGTATTGTAAAAGGGCAGCTGGCATAAACAAACAAACAAACAAGTAAATAAATACATACATACATAAATGGAAATATGAGGTTTTGTTCCGACAGCATCTATATATAATGCATATGGCACACATTATTATTGCATGCAGGTATTAGACATTAGCAGATCTATAACCTTGTATCCTAACAATATAAAAACATACATGCTGTTATTTTCTCTGTGTTCAGTTGGTGCTTTTTAACTGACATAACTAGAAAACTATGAAAAAAGGTTTAAATACTACAGTGTGAATACTGTGTGAATGAATGTGTCACTGTTGGCACTCAGTGTGTTTGAAGTTGTTTGTTTGATCATGACTGTGAATGAAGTGTAACAGCACCTAGATCAGGTTTCGCGTGTAGCAGTTGTGTATATGTGATGTCATGTTTTCAGGTGGTCCGCTGGTGGTCATGGTGGGTGAAAGGGCAAAAATATATATCATACAATACTGAAAGACGTTTTCACTACGCACAACATGTCTGACAGTAGTTTTTCTGAGGAACAAACAAAGTTTGGTTGAAAATGCACCAGCAAAGGAGGTGTGTAACTGCTGACTGTGTCTGTGATGGTGTCTGTTCTGCAGCTGGAGCGACGGCATGAGCAGATGAAGCGGAACCTGGAGGCGCAGTATAAAGAGCTGGAGGAGAAGAGGAGGCAGTTTGAGGAGGAGAAGGCCAACTGGGAGGCGCAGCAGCGCATTCTGGAGCAGCAGAAACTCGACGCCTCCAAGTGAGACACGCACACAAACACAGCTGCCCGAGGCATTTCCCGCACATTAGCCTCTCCCACTCTTCTCTTCATCTGTTTGTTTTTCCTCTCTTTTTACTTTGTTTCTTTGCTGTTTCCTTCCTTTCTGTTTTCTTTTTCTTATCACCCCCCAGTCTGCCTTGCTCTCCTCTGTCTCTCTCTCTCGCTTTCTCTCCTTCATAATACATATTTCCCTATATCAGGGGTCGGCAACATGCGGCTCTTTTACTGCCCTGTTGTGGCTCCAGAGATGAATTAGATTTGTAGGTAAAAATAAAATAATCCTCCTTTACAGTAAAATAAAGCTCTGCTGATCGTTCAACACAGTTTAACAATAAATGGTCTTAAACTCTGGAGTTAATGTAGAACTGCTAATTCACCCTTTAACCCTGAAGATCAGCGCAGACTGCTGGTCACCATAGCAACACAGACAACAGTCTCGCCTAGCTAGTATCTAACGAAATGGCAAAGAGAGAGATTTAAGACGAACATCGGTAATTTGGAGATGAATGGACTTATTAGTGTTTATAATCACTCCAGCTGGTTTCCTGATACGTTTAATCTGCAGTGACAAACACTAAAAAGTCGTGAAGCTGAAGTCGCTTCTCATTCGCCAGCTTCTTGTCCAAATTTTCCCATTCCACCTTAAATGGTGCAGCAGGTACATTCTGGCGCCTCAGTCACCGGTTAAGGTGGAATGGGAAAATATGAACAAGAAACTGGTGAATGAGAAGCGACTTCAGCCTCGTAAAAAGTCGAACGTTGAGAGACATTTTACAAGAAAATGTTCAACTTTTACGGAAAAGTTTCCTGCCTGAGATGCGAGAAAAGCACCTATAGCTGAGCTGAAGCTTAAAGCAGAGCAAAGTAAGTCTGCTTTTTCATGTATGCTATATTTTCAGCCTATACTAGCACATACTGAGACATATTTACAGCCAAGATGGTGAAATGGACAAAAAATGTTGTGGCTCCCAAGGTAGTTTGATTTTTTTTTGAAAGGTCAAAATGGCTCCTCTTAGCATTTGAGTTACGACCCCTGCCTTATATCTATATATAATATGTAATAAAATGTCCCATGTGTGTTATATAATTATATACACTCGCCAAGCACTTTATTAGGAACACTTGCTCATTCATGCAGTTATCTAATTGGCCAATCATGTCACAGCAGCACACCTCATACTATCATGCAGATACAGGCAGCAGCTTCATTTAATGTTCATATCACCCATCAAAATGGGGGAAAAATGTGATCTCAGTGATTTTGACTGTGGTGTGATTGTTGGTGCCAGACGGGCTGGTTTGAGTATTTACTGCTGATCTCCTGGTTTGTTTTTAATGAATGTTTGTTCTCAAAAAATGTTTGTTTTCATCTGGCCATTTACTAAAAATTGTGTCTTGAAAATAAAGGAAAAAAATATATAAAAGTAAACAAACAAACACATACTTGGCTTTCATTTAAGTCCAGTCTAAACAGAAGTAGGTCTCTCACTTAAGGAGCTAATTTCATTGTTCTTCCCCCTGTTTTTCAGGACCATGGAAAAGAACAAGAAGAAAGGGAAAATCTTTTAACGAGGCCAGAGTCCTTTCCTCCAGCACAACAACAGAAACTCCTTTTTACATCCCTTTTGATGCTCGCATGATTTATGACCTCTGGGTTACACACACACAAACACACACACACACACCACACACACTCACACACAGCGTTGCACTCATCGTTTGCTCTAACATTCCATTAAAACATTCCAAAAACACACAGAAGTTTGTTTTGTACATGTTTTAGACGCTTATATGTAACTACATTTTGCATACAAACACATCGTCCACCTAACTCCAGTTAATCAGTTTGCCCTCTTGTGGACAGTGGCTGCTACTGCACTCCTGTCTGAGCGCATGTCTGTTAGATGGTAATGACGAGGAGGATATTAATAAATGTCCCTCTGATAACTAATGGAATTGAGCACTGCAGTACTATCATTGTGTCTGCTGAGGTCAGAACAGCCTTGTTTTCAAACATCGCTGGTGTTTCATTCATGCATTAACACACTCATTCGGTTACGGTTGTTATGTCACTCATTCTTCTACAAGGGGATGCTCATATGAAGAGATGGTCTGAATCAGTAGGTGGCAGATGTGGCTGTGAACGTCAGAAGTAGAGTCAAAGGGGCATTCCACGTTTTTTTTTAAAATCTCTGCATATGTAAATCACCGAGGTGTGAAAAGAGTGCATCAGAGTGGCGACTCGGGTTTCTTTACAGTGGTGGTGATAGGAACCAGGGGGTCACCATGTCTACAACACAGATTTAGCCATTTTATTTGCTGTCAAAACCACCAGTGAACCCACACAAGTCTTCTGAGTTTTATATGTAATGTTGATGATAAAATAGTGAAAAATCTGAACAATGCATTTTCTTTGGGGACTGTTTTGTCTTATAACCGTCTGCATGTACCTCTTCATCATAAATGGATTTTGAAGAACTTTTCTTAAACATCAGGCTGCCGTTTCATGTAATAACTTTCTGTGCAGCAGTAAAATCTACAGACGTCTGGTTCCTATCACCATCACTGTGAGCAATTCTGACTTTGTAAATGTTCTAGAAAGGAGCATTTTGTGTCAAACCACTCTAAATTTTGGAAAATTGCTGTGTCACACAGTGTACAGCAGTGTAATAACATTTCCAGACAGGAACTGAGTGGGACTACGGCTTAAGAGGGTATGTTTTATGGTTTACTGAACGTCATATGAGAGTTTGTTAGATTGCTTAGGAGATAATGTGGTGGAGCTGGGTTGTGTGTGTGTTTGTGTTTCACTTTAATGGGGTCATAGATAGTATCTGAAGTTCCGCTCCATGTAACACGTTTCTGTACAGCTCCAGCTCATCTGATTAAACTGTTACAATTTGATTTTGTCATTATAATAAACCCTTGCTGGATCATATGTATTCAGATAATATTGTCCCTATAATGCATAGTGTTATGCGCCGTCGGCATGAGTGTCAAAATGTACTCAATGGTAACAGTGATGACTGATGTGGATGGTTATGATGACAGTAATGTTGATACTTATATAAATGGTTCAATCTGCCCTAATTTGGTTGCAGAACAACACAAACCTAAAGGGCAGTTTTATCTGTTTGTGGGTTTTTTTTTTCTTTCTATTTTTATTATTTTTATTTTCCTTTGTCTGTGGAGTGATGAAAATCTATCTCCCCCTACTAACGATTTTCCATGACCCTCACTGTTGTGGACCGGGCTTCTTCTCCAGGTTCTTCTAATGTGAAAGGTGCCAGGTTATGAGCTACAACCTACCTTGTACAGTCATTGGCCATTTTATCAGAAACACCTACCATATTTTGTATCTGCAGTGAAAAAAGTGACTCCTTAAATTTGCTTGATTTAAACATTTAAATCAAATAAATGCAATGCAGCACTTTTTCAGTGCAGTTACTGACAGTAGCCCATGTGTTGCTATACGCACCCTACATGGCAGTAGTGTGGTACGAGTGTATGAAGCGCAGCAGTGTTACTGTTACTTTTAAAAGCGGCATAGACGTTTGCAGAGGATCTGATCCTGGATCAGTCGGTGTGACTGCCCTTAAATCAGTATAAGGAGCTAACGTCCACCCCACTCATTGAAAGCTCAATGCCCAAATACAGGGATACTGTACTTTAGTAACCCTCTCCATGTCCTGTGAGGCTCACTAATAGGATCTAAGACTAGACTATAACAGGCCAGATAGAACATACTGAGCAGCACATACTAACCTCAGCTCTTCACCTGAATTTGACAAAGTAATTTATTATCAGTGTGGTTATCTACACATCCGCAACCTTCATCAACCAAGGGTGAGCAAAAGTGTCACACCTAAAAACACACACACACACACACACACACACACACACACACACACACACAGAGTCGTCCACTATGCAAGTTCAAACACTTTCGTTCTTCCGGCTGTGCATAGGAAACTCCTGATACTCAGAACCAACACAGTTAGTGCTCTGAACTCATGCGCTGCGCAAAGCTCTCAGTAAAGCTGGACTCAGTCAACCTTTCGCTATAATCCTTCTCAAAACTTTCCCTAACCATTCCCAAACCTTTCTGTAGCCATTCCCAAACCTCTTTAATCATTCCCAAACCATTCCCAAACCTTTCTCTAACTGTTCCCAAACGTATCTCTAGTCCTGTGTTTCTCAACCCGGTCCTCAGCACTCTCCAGACAGCCCACCTTTTACTTTTATCCCTATGTGCTGCAAGTTTGGTTGGAGCAAAAGTATGGACCGTCTGGGGGACCCTGAAGACCCTGTTGGGAAGGAACTGGTCTAACCATTCCCAGACCTACCCTTTAGACATTCCCAGACCCCAGATTTTTCCCTAGCCATTCCCAAAACTTTCCCTAACCATTCCCAAAACCTTTCCCTTTAGAATTTCATAAACCTTTCACCTTCATAACGCTAGAGCCCAAAACCCGCCACCCCTAATTTTTTTACTTGTTTTTATATGTACACAGCTTTCAATGTATTGATTTTTCTTCATGTTATTATTGTCTATTCTGTCTCCCTAACTGTACATTATTACTATTAAAGATGAAATGGTTATGCTAAACACAACATTGTGCATCATCCTTATCTCAGATCTACACTCGGTTTCTCTGGTTCTGCTGATGTGTGTGTGCTCACCGACAGTGCTGCTGTCTTACTCTTAATACTGAGACAATGGAAACAAATTTATTTGCATCATTTTATTGTGTTATTTGGGGCCACAGCATTAAAAAGCATTGATAGTATTGAAAGAAAGGAATACATTCACTGTTAAAAAACAAGGTGTTGAATATTGGAGCGTTTCAACTTTTGGTGTTGCTTTTGGGTTGCATGGAAGCTGCAGCACTGAAATCTGGACTTCATTCAAGGCGCTGGGACATCTTGCTTGCAGAACTTGGCCTTAACTGTCGTAACCCTGAAAGACACCAATAACACAGTCACAGCTGTGGAAGCTTAGATCTGACCTCATTTACCTCCAGACAGTCTCATCTATATATTCAGTAGTAAATCAGATGTAAAATGTGTTTATAGCACCAGATTAAACAGTAACTCTCATGTATGTATCTTCCAAAGGTAGATACTCACACATAGCCTGGCTTTGGGCACTCAGATGGTTTTTCTCAACTTTTACGATTAGTTTGGGTGGAATTTTAGGCCTGAAGAAGCTGAAACCGCACTGAACAGGATGACCCATGGGATCCGTGGCATTAGCTTAGAAGGAACCAAACTATTTTGGTTTATGTTTTAAATTACAGGAAAAACCAACCTGCCCTCATTATCATCAGCACCTGATCACAAAGTACATGTGAAATAGAAGCTATTCTGGATGAAATGATGTTCAAACATATGCAGTGTTCTTTATCATCTGTCTTCTCATTATGAACATCTAGACCTGCTTTGTCTCCACATTCCAACTACTATTACTATTATTCCAAATAATAATTAGAAAAATGATTGCCATAATTATTCCTTAAAGGAGAAATTCAACCATTTTGCCACAAATATAGCCATTTACTATCCAAAACCACCAGTGAACCTACACGTGTCTCCTGAGTTTTATATGGAATGATAATGGTAAAATAGTGGAAAATCTGAAATAATAAATTTACTTTGGGGTCTATTTTGCCTCACAATGCCCTGCATGTATCCCTCCACCATGAATGGATTAAAATAAATGGATTACTAAGACGTTTCTGGACAAAACTTTATCACCAAAGTATCATAAAACAGTGTCTCAGTCACCAGTCAGTGTATTCAGAACCATTTAATGCAATAACTTTCTGTGAGGGAGCTTTTAGAGGTGGACGTCTGGTTCCTATCACCACCACTGTGAACAGTTTCACACTAAACCACTCTGAACGACTCTGTTTACATCTTAACCCTTTAATTATGTAGAAATATTGATTAAATGGTGGAATTCCCCTTTAATCGCTGCTACCCCCACATAATAATGCATTATTTGTAATAATTTTGTCATGATTATTCTTCATGGTAATACTAGTTATTATTAGCAGTAATGTTCAATAGTATCGTTTATTATTGTGATCTATGTCATCAGCAGGACCAGCCCCAGGACCAAACACACACAGCTCATCTTCATCTCCTCTGTAGGCGTCTGATGTTCTGTTTCTCTGGTGTTATCTTGACTTTGATCTGATGACGTTCACCCTCTTTTTTTAAATTTACTTTAATCCTAAGGGTGAACTTAGGGGTAGGTGGCTCTGCCCCCTGCTGACCAGTGTGGTTGTGTAGAAGTTATTGCACTTTTGAGGAGAAGATTAGGTTTATTTCATACAGAGATGTTCACAGATCACTGGTTTGGTTCCGTCTCCCACAGAGAACGGGAGCAAACAAAAATGATAGTGAGTGTTATCACCCCTCAACTGGCCCAAACCATCTTCTTACTGAAGTCTCAAGGTTATGTACTCGTGATAGAGAGGCATAGGAAAAGTACAGACGACCTGACAGAATGACTATTCTGATAAACATGTAGGAGTTATACAATTAACCACACTCCAAGACCCGCCCCACTCACATACACACACACACACACACACACACTCACTTCCTCTCAGAGCAGAAACTGTAGTCTCAAGATGACCCTTGATAACTTGCCTGATGTGTGAATGCAGTGCATGAGACATCCGTCAGTCACTTGAGACCTGAGAACCAGTCTATTCTTATATAAACACTAATTAATAAATGCAATTAAACACTAATTAATTAATGCATTGTTCTCTAAATTCAGTTAATTATACTTGAGCAGCTTTAAGTGAAAATGTATTGTTGAAAACTACACAAAGAGATGATCTACAGTACAGAAGATACTTTAATATCTGAGCTACTGAAAGAGAAAATATGAACCGTTCTAAATCGCTCATCTCCAGCTGTGTCTCATTACAGTAGTTCTATACACTCTCACTGGGTCAGTACCCCTCCTGTCACTGGGGTGGGACCCTCAAGGGTGCATCTCAGTACCTTTAGTCAGGGAACATAACTGTACCATAATCCACTGAAATGATATGTTCTAAGCTGTACTGACTCCACACACCCCGTCTCGTCTCCAGGCTCTTTTTACTTTATTGTTTTGTTTTAAAACATTTGGTTATGAAAAGGTACAAATACAAACTTTTCACATGGAAAAACTTTAATTTAAGGTTCACAATCAGACGTATTACCGAAGTATTCGGTAAAGTTCAGTAGTGTCGCAGAAGAAGAAGAGAAAAGAAAGGCTGAAACTTTATTTGCAGGGTACTGTTGCTTTGGTCAGAGCTGGAGAGAGTAACCAGATTATTAATAATAATACACACACTCATCTAAACCGCTTATCCTTCGGGGTCACGGTGGGGTGCTGGAGCCTATCCCAGCTGTCATCGGGCGGAAGGCAGGATACACCCTAGACAGGTCACCAGTCCATCGCAGGGCAGACAGACAGACACATTCACACACTCACTCACACCTAGGGGCAATTTAGCATGTCCAATCGGCCTGACTGCATGTTCTTGGACTGTGGGAGGAAACCGGAGTACCCGGAGGAAACCCACGCAGACACGGGGAGAACAGGCAAACTCCACACAGAGAGGACCCTGGTCGCCCGGCTGGGAATTGAAGGCCATTTTTGCCGTGAGGTGACAGCGCTACCCACATAGAACTTTTTCTAGTTCTATGATCTGTTCTGTCTACCTAAATGTGCATTATTAGGAGACGGTTATACTAAAGACATTATAGGTCATCTTCATCTTCTCATTACACTCTACAGTATCACCACAATATAACTCTCACTGCATCACTCCCTTATATAATATCCATGTAATACTGTGACAATGTAAATGCTGCACAGCATAAAATAACCATTAAATATAAGCTTTTAGCTGCTCTGTGTGCTGAAGTGTGGGTTGGGTTGAAGCTGCAGCTCTCAATTCTGGATTTGCTGCAGGTCCTTCTTGCAGAATCTGCCCTTCTTCGTTGTAACCCTGAAAGATACAATTTAGATTTAATATAGAAAGAAATTTGTTTGTGACATATTAAAACAATAAACCACATATTGTCTCTATCAGAACAAAACCTCATATCGTAATTTTGAAAACAGCAGTTGTCGTTTACATTGTCCCGAAATTTTTATGATGAATGAACCAATAGAAATCTTCCAAAACTAGCTGGGGAAGAACCTCATTACATTAGAGCAGCACTATGTAATATTTTTGTTGAAACTGAAAGTAACATTATTAAGTATAGAGAAAAACAAACACACTAAAATATGGCGAGTGTGAGCTGCTGCAATTCACCTGCAAAATCTTAAATAATCATGTGAAAGTCGGAAGTACCGGGATGGATTTTGTAGGAATTTTTTGGACCATGTCGTACATCTTTACATATAACTTCACACACACAAGCTCAAAAAGAATGTCCATCTCGATGTTTAGGTCTGTAATGACCTCAAAATCAACATCATGCTGATGAACATCTGATCACAATAGTAGATAATTCACTCACATCCTCAGAAGACGCTCCTTCACCAAGTTTAGACTGAGATCTCTTTGAATTCTCTTTCAACACATTCGCATAAGTCAGATCTGTCTGTTGGGGTCTGAAGCACAACCGTTACAAAATGTTCTTCCCCATGTTGTATGCAATTATATGTTTCCACCAGAGAGGTCTCCAAATCCCCAAATCCTAGTGTTGCGTTAACTTACATTAAACTTTGGAATGTTTTCTCCTTTTTCTGAAAATTTCCCATTTTGGAGATAAGAGATTTTGTTCCAACAGTGACGATATACATCTTACATATAAGACAGATACTCACACATAGCCTGTCTTGGGGCAGTCGGAATGTGTTTTTACCACTTCTAGTATTTCTTTGTCTGGAATTTTAAAAGGGACGAAGTTGAAACAGCAGTTATCAGGCTGGCCAAGAGCATGGGCTGAGGAAGAGAAGAAGAAAACATATGAAGCTCTGCTTTCTAATTGTGGAACACTTGGACCAGCATCCTCTGAACACCTAGACTAATTTTACTATTGCTACTAATAATAAACATTGTAGTAATATGGTTATAATAATACACATAATTAAACATTTTGTTATCATTTATTGATCATTTATTACCATTATCAGTGGTAGTTGTTCTTACTGTTATTTTAAGAATACTAATTATTATTATTAGCAATAGTACAGTCACTGTTATCACTGTGTTATAATCAGAGCTGTGAATAATGCAGAAACACTAACTGAAATTATGATTAAGAAGAAAAAGTATCAAAGTAATAAAAATCTATTTTTAAACACACTCAACTAAATATACAAATCACAATGTTACAGATTAAGGCACAATCACATTTCACACCCCCAACACACACACACACTCTTAACCCCTAGCCCTCTGTTTTGCGCATTCACTTCTAGGGGTAGGGTGTCCTGATTCTTGTTGAGATAGAGGGGTAGGGTGAAGTGTTTGGGCTGCATGACCCTCCAAACGGAGGTTTTTCAGAGGCCAAACGGAGTGATATGAGGAAAAAAGAAAAACTGGAAAGACGGAGCACAAGAGACCAAAGAAGCCCACAAATGTGAGAAT